GGATGGGATGGGATGGGACAGAGTGGACGGGATGCGCTGGCCGGGCCGGGCTGGCCGTGCCGGCGGCAGCGCTGACGCGCGGCTCCCCGCAGGCCGGCACGCACGAGGAGCTGCTGCGGCGCCGCGGGATCTACGCGGAGCTCGTCCGCAGGCAGACCTCGGCGGCGGGATGAGCGCGGCCGGGATGAGCGGGGATGGGATGAGCGGGGATGGGATGAGGGAGGATGGGATGAGCGGGGTCGGGATAAGTGGGGCTGGGATGAGGGGGGCCGGGCGGCGCCTCAATAAACCCCCCGACGCTGACGCGTGTGCGGCTGTGCTGCGCCAGGGCTGTTGCCACGGCGGGGGTGGTACAGGCGGCGCTGTTGCTGTGGGGATGGCTGGTACACACAGGGGCTGTAGCTATGGAGATGGGTGGTACCGGCGGGGTGGTTGCTATGGAGGTGTGTGGTACAACTGGGGCTGTTGCCATGGAAATGGGTGGCACACACGGGCTGTTGCTATGAAAGTGAGTGGTATAGGTGGGGCTGTTGCCGTGGAGATGGGTGGTACATGTGGGGTTGTTGCCATGGAAATGGGTGGTACACGCAGAGGTTGTTGCTATGGAGGCGGGTGGTATAGGCGGGGTTGTTGCCATGGAGATGGGTGGTGTGTACAGTGCTTGTTGTTATGGAGATGGGTGGTATACAGAGGGGCTGTTGCCATGGAGATGGGTGGTACAGGTGGGGCTGTTGCTATGGAGATGGGTGGTACACAGAGGGGTCATTGCTATGGAGATGGGTGGTACAGGCAGGGTTGTTGCCATGGAGATGGGTGGTCCATGCAGTGCTTGTTGCCATGGGGATGGGTTGTACACAGGGGCTGTTGGCGGGGGGCGGGGCCTTGCCGTGCTCCTCCCTCTTCGCCCTCCCGCCGCGGCGCCCCGGGCTCCGCCATGACGGCGCGGGGCAGCCTGGGGGCCACGTGCTCGGGGCGTGGCCACAGCGCTGGGGGCGGGGCCTGTGAGGGGTTGGGCGGGGTTAGCGGCGGGGCGGGGCCAGAGGGTCGGGGGTGTGTCCGGGGGCGGGGCCAGGACGGGGCGGGCGCCGCGTGTTCCGTGTCCCCAGCGCCACCCGCCCCGCGCCGCGGCCCCAGTCCCGTGTCCCCAGTCCCGTGTCCCCAGTCCCGTGTCCCCAGT